ACTAGAACAAATGCAGTAACTGGGTGCCATATACTCAATGAAGTCATTCTACAGTGATGATGGGGATTACATTGACGTGTCTGTACCCAGCGCTTCATTTTAGGCATGTTAGTTTCACAATATTGTGAATTCTAGCACCAGGAAATGAGATTGGTATGTAATAATAGCATCTGCAGAAGACATGCTTCCCCTGTTGTGGTCAGTCATGTATGCCATATGATTGAATCTGTAACTCCACAAACTCCACTTCCAACAATTTTTCAATTATTTTTTTCCATCTGAAAGGGATGTGGAAAATAATTTTTGTCATTGCCACAAATACTGATACAGGCTATGTAGCTTTTGTGCTGTTACAGTAAGTTTAAATATTGTTTTAAAAGAGAAGCCATTAATCTAATATGTTGGTATTAAAAAGCTGTATGAATTCAAAGGAAAAAACATGCAATTCTCAAATATAACAACATTTAAAAATACACAAAAGCTTTCTCAGTGTCCTGATTTAAGTGGAAAGACTGAGAGCAATTTTAATATGCAATGGTGGTACTGTGCCACTCACGAACTGCAGCTGTGTTCGATGCCTTCTTTAATGTAACGTCAGAGCAGCGCTTTCTCACACTGACGTCCAATGGTAGCCCCTTTTGCACCAGAAATTGCTTTACAACGTAACTGAGAAACTAAAAACATTGCAGAAAATCTAAGGGAGGTGAGGGGGAAACAGTGTGAAGAAGTAAATTTTTAATATTTGTTCATGAAGTTTTAGCCTATTTTTGATGTAATTGTATATGAAGCTGTGGTAATACCAAATAACTATTTCTTAGCATTTTTTCCTAAAAGCATTAGATTGTTCTTCAATTTAAACTCTGCTAGAGCACTGTCCTTCAGAGAGAGATATATGTTTATATCCCTCTGGTGGGTTCAAGCCTATGTGTCCCAGAAGGAAAGGGCTATGCATGTTATTTGACAAAACCAAACAGCAATAAGCTTAATTTGTAACTTGTTTTAGTGATGACCATGTTTCATGCAATGGTCAAATCGTAAGTATGCCCTGCATACTGAACGCCTGCATGGAGACAGAGCTAACATAATGAAAACTAGTCTGTCCACAGTTCCCATTTTCTGTACAGTCATGGAGGATTAAATGGTGTAAACAGTTGTTGAAGCTTTTTTTTAGCTTTAAGCCCCCTTTCTCCCCAGTCACAGGGACGGGGCCCATAGCCCAGTGTTTGGGAAGCACAACCCCACCACTGTGGGATCCAGTTGCCAGGCAGGGTGAGTGCAGGTGAAACGCCTGTAGGCCAAGGCTACAAAGGCTGCTGACCTGCCCACCTCCCTCCTTCCCTCCCCTACAGCCTGCCTCTGTCTTGCTGAATGCAGGTGACAGCAGCTGACAGAACTCAGTTGACAGAACTTCTGCCACTGTGGCTGATGCACAGATTAAGCATTGAAAACCTGGACAAGCAGACAACAACCACCAAGGTAATGGCAGCTCTAAGACTTTTTAGGTGGGGGGGATCTCAATGGAAAATCATTTAATAGGCACACAAGTGCGTGTATGCAATGGAGATTTAAAAGAAAAACATTGCGTAAAGAAACAACAACATCCATTACCAAGCTAGTGTTAACAAGATGAGAACATTTTGTTGTTGTGCAACAAAAAATATCTAAGTAATTATTTTTAATAGATTACCTCTTAGAGAGGTACACTTAACTCTGTATCGGCCAGCTCGATGGTACTTGGGAGATAACCCTCCAAAAATCTGTCTTTAGCACTGCAGAACTATCGTATCAAAAGCTTCCTGCATAACTTGACACACCTCGTTTACACAACCTTTTGTTTTTAGCTGAGGAACTTGCTGAGTCATGTTTGTGAGGTGCTGTCAAATCGCTGCCTTGCTACCGGACAGCTGCAGTCACATTTTTGAAAGCTGCTACTACTGAGGCCACACAGTTGTACTGTTCGTATTTTCTGAAGTACTTTGTGCAGCATATTCACTTCTGACATAATGAAAGCAAAGACAGAAGACAATAAAACTGCCCATCATTCAAAAGACTCAATAGACAAATAACTTGTTAATAGTGCCGAATGCCACCCTGACTCTTTCTGAAGCTTCTCCGTAACTCTTAATTCTTCCAAGTTTTCATGAACTGTACTTGCAGTTCTTCCCTGGGAGTACCACTGTGTTTCACTGGGTCTCAGCACCCTCCTCTTCAGTATTTCATTGTGGGGAGGTGGATGCTTTGGTGAAGCAGAAAAAAAAAAATACAAGAACATGGATAAATATTGAATACCTTCAGTTCTTTTCCTGGTACATAGCTGCTGCATGAAGTTTAACTGGTGAGTGTAACAGTGCACAAAATATGCCCTGTGAATTTCACAGAGTGACTGAAAGGTTGAGGCTGGCAGGGACCACTGGAGGTCGTCTGGTCCAATTCCCAGCTCAAGTAGGGTCACCTAGAGCCAGTTGCCCAGGACCATTCCAGACATCTTTGGAGTATCTCCAAGGAGGGAGACTCTACCACCTCCCTGGGCAACCTGTGCCAGTGCCTGGTCACCCTCACAGTGAAAAAGTGCTTCCTGATGTTTGGGAGGAACCTCCTGTGTTTCAGTGTCTGCCCATTGCCTCTGCTCCTGGCACTGGGCACCACTGAAAAGAGCCTGGCTCCATCCTCTTTGCAGCCTCCCTGCAGGCATTTATATACATCGATGAGATCCCCCCTGAGCCTTCTGTTCTCCAGGCTGAACAGTCCCAGCTCTCTCAGCCTTTCCTTTTGCTGGACTCTCTCCAGTATGTCCATGTCTGTCTTGTAGTGGGCAGCCCAGAACTGGACCCAGCACTCCAGGTGTGGCCTCACCAGTGCTGAGTAAGGGGGAAGGATCACCTTTCTCAAACAGCTGCCAACACTCCTCCTAACGCAGCCGACGACACCATTGGCCTCCTTTGCTGCATGGGCATGTTGCTGGCTCATGTTCCACTTGGTGTCAACCAGGACCCTCAGTTCCTGTTCTGCCAAGCTGCTTTCCATCCAAGCAGCCCCCAGCATGTCCTGGTACCTGGGATTGTTTCTCCCCAGGTGCAGGACTTTGCACTTCCCCTTGCTGAACTGCATGAGGTTCCTGTCAGCCCATTTCTCCTGCCTGTCCAGGTCCCTCTGGATGGCAGCAGGACCCTCTGGTGTATCAGTGCTTCCTCCCAGTTTGATGTCATCAGCAAACTTGCTGAGGGTGCACTCTGCCCCGTCATCCAGATCATTAATGAAGATGTGAAACGGTATGGGACCCAGCATTGACCCGAGGCACACTGCTACTTACTGCCCTCCAACTAGACTTAGTGCCACTGATCACCTCCCTCGGGGCTCATCTTTTATTAGCACTTGTACTCGATTCAGGGTACGTATCGCCACTGCTGCGCTCTCCTACAACCAGCAAGATGGCACACCTTGCAGGCTGCCAGGCAGAGCTGGTGGCGGCTGCCAGGCCTCCCCCCGGTTTCTCTCTGCTAAGGACTGCGCAAGGGAC